CCTAGAATTGAATGGGATAGGAATAGGATAGGGATTGAATAGGATAGGGATAGGATAGGGATAAGAATTGAATGGGATAGGAATAGGATAGGGATTGAATAGGATAGGGATAGGATAGGGATAAGAATTGAATGGGATAGGAATAGGATAGGGATTGAATAGGATAGGGATTGAATAGGATAGGAATAGAATAGGATAGGAATAGAATAGGATAGGGATAAGAATGGAACGGGATGGGAATAGGATAGGGATTGAATAGGATAGGAATAGGATAGGAGTTGAATAGGATAGGAATAGGATAGGATAGGGCAGAGAATGGAATGGGATGGGAATAGGATAGGAATAAGAATGGGATGGGAATAGGATAGGGATTGAATAGAATAGGAATAGAATAGGATATGGATAAGAATGGGATGGGATGGGAATAGGATAGGGATAAGAATAGAATGGAATGGGAATTGGATAGGGATGGGATGGGGATTAAAATAGGATAGCATAGAATAGAATGGAATCCTTTATTGACCAGGAATTTGTCTTTGGTGCATATGCTCTCAGTGTACATAAAGAAAAATAAAACAGAACACATTCATCAAGAATCATAAGATACAACACTTAAGTGATAGTCATAGGTTACTACTAATAAGCAATCACTAGGATTGCTACTAGGAAACAAAGCAATATAAATCGTGAAGATACAATTTATGATAATTAAGCATGAGAAAGGATCATAAAGTGTCTTTTCTCAGTGCCGTTGTAACTTGGAACAGTTACTAAATGAATTGTTGTGAGACAAAGGCTTCTTTCAGTTCTTAGTGATTGCATCCGATAGATCAGGGGTCCCTAAACTTGGCAACTTTAAGACTTGTGGACTTCAACTCCCAGAATTATCCAGCCAGCATAGCATAGCTGGCTGGAGAATTCTGGGAGTTGAAGTTCACAAGTCTTAAAGTTGCCAACTTTGAAGACTTCTGCGATAGATTGTCTGCATTTATTGACATTTATGTGTTTTTTTTTAAAATCGGGGGTACAGTTTTTATGTGCAGTTATATCCTGGCATCTATGAGTGGCATATGAATTCAAGCGGCTTGGTGTGTCCTGTTTTCTGCAACACCCTGGCAGGCTCTTGAGGAATGTTCCTGGCCCGTCCCTGGCATGTCAACCTTCATACTGGTTATTCTGGGCCGGCTTTCATGGGTGGGGTCAGTTAAGTAGGGCTGAGCTTTGGGGCCGAATTTTCTATAAATTTAATAAATAAATTAATAAATAAACAAATCTTTGTGAAAATTGACCCCCCTGAGATGCCATTCCTGGAACAATAATGATACAATAACACAATAGCAGAGTTGGAAGGGACCTTGGAGGTCTTCTAGTCCAACCTCCTGCCTAGGCAGGAAACCCTATACTGTTCCAGACCAATGGTTATCCAACATCTCCTTAAAGACTTCCAGTGTTGGGGCATTCACAACTTCTGGAGGCAACTTCTGTTCCACTGATTAATTGTTCTCACTGCCAGGACCCCTGCAATGTAGGAATTCAGATTAAAGCATTCCCCTCCTCAAATCTCTGCTTGGAGTATATCTGCTGGACTTTTAAAGCAAGATTTCTCCCAACTGAATTTAGCGTGGGGGGGCGGTGTTGCAGAGCAGGGAAAGAGCAGGAATAACTCAAGTCCTCTCAAAAAATACAGTCCCATTTTCTCTCACTAGGTCAGGAATTTGGGGGAATTCGCTTTCTGAAAAGGTTCAAAACCCCCCCCCCCAGCTTAAAGACCGTGGAAATCAGCTCTATAAACGTGAACACAGCAATTTTACTTCCACTGCGCGGTATATACATTTCCAGCAGAAGTACCCATCAAATGTGTCACGGGTGAATTAATGATGCACTAAAACTTTCATTTAAAAAAATGCCCTGCTGGTGGATGTTCTCTTCCGCAGTTTGCATCAGGGCTCGAGTGCGGGAGCCCGCGAGGCAGCCACGCCTCGGCCGCATCAAAGAGATCCGTGGGCTGAAGCAGTGAAGGAGGGTAGCAGAGCCTGTTTGGTGAAGTTTCGCTTAACGAAGTCCTCACGGGTGGGGAAAGCATACATTTTGCACCAGCAGGGCCGGAGAGAAAATTGTACAGGTCTCCTCCTCCTTTAATGGTTAATTGGAATCCCGCCAGCGGCCAGGACCCCGTGGCTGGGATCGTCCCTCCCTCCTGGCTGGGTTCCTAATAGGTCAAAAGTGGATTGGCTTTGCAAGGTTGGAATACGACAGAGGAGAAACCAACCTTTTAAAAAGACATTGGACGTATTTATAGGATCTGTTTTTTTTAAGGAAAGATACAAAAAAAACATTCTTTTAAAAAGCTTTAAAAGAGGGACTCGGTGACGAAGATGCTAAGCTTGTTAATGAGAAGGGTTGGCAGTTCGGCGGTTTGAATCCCTAGCACTTTGNCTTTACCTCTATCTCCATCTATCATTTATCGATCATCATCAGAACAGGAAATCCCAGGGATTTAATCCAGGGTAATAATAGACTTTTTAAAAAAGTCACTCATTACGTTCCCCCTCCCCTTTTCTTCCTTTTTATTAAAATAACATTCCAGAGAGGATGCTAAACAAGAAAGCCTCAGGCTCTGGTTGAGTAGGGCTGGTGTCAAAAGCGCAACCGTACCCCTGTTTCTTTTCTTTTTAAAACTCCATTACACTGAAAGCCTTTCCCCCCCCCTCCCCAGAGAAAGATTTTCTTGTGGTTCAGCTAAAGTGGATCAAACTGATATCATCTTCACCCTTATTAGAAGCTTCTAAAATACTCCGCCAAATGGAGGGAAATGCTTCCCTTCGGCAGCAGGATTCTGGTTTTATTTTTATTTTTATTTTGCTCTCAGTGTTCTCCAGCCACCGAGGGGGGGGGGGGCAAGCCTTGTCTGGCACTTCAGCATTTCCCCTTTTAGCCTTCCCTCCCACGCCCCCCACGTCCCATTTTCACAAAACTCACCTATTGATAAACCTCCTCTGTTTGCATTTGATAGGATTCGCCCTTGGGCAGCCGGTTTTCCATCGGTGCCCCAAATGCACCGAATGAATCCCTCGTCTCTTCTCATGACTTAAACTCCCCCCCAATCTCAGAATCAGACCGGATATCCAAGCAACCAAACCTCCCAGCCGATCGGCAGGAGGAAATCACTTACAACAGCAACCATATACAAAAACGAAACTGGACCTTAAGAAAAAACCCGCAGAAATCAAATAAACTTGGCTAGCTGGCTCAACGCAGATAGGAGAGCCCGCCGGCAGTTGTGAGAACAGGGCTTGTGGGTTGCTTTGGCAAGGCGCAGGAGTGGTTATCCGTGGTGCGTTGGGATGTTATCTGTGGCCTGTGTGCTTATTGGATGCATTTTAGTCAGAGCAAAACACTCTGTTTGTAGGGACCAAACTGGTGATCCAGTTAAAGTAAGGTGATCGCCAACTTCAGCATTGATGGTGAACTTCTTTCTAATAATTATAGCAGTATTTCTCAACTCTGACCACTTTAAGACGGGTGGACTTCAACTCCCAGAACTCCTCAGCCACCATGGAGATTCTGGGGGGGTTGAAGTCCACCCATGGGAATTCTGGTGGTTGAGATCTTTCTCAACTCTGGCCACTTTAAGACAGGTGGACTTCAACTCCCAGAATTTCCCAGCCAACATGGAGATTCTGAGGGTTGAAGTCCACCCATGGGAATTCTGGGGGGTTGAGATGTTTCTCAACTCTGGCCACTTTAAGACGGGTGGACTTCAACTCCCAGAATTCCCCAGCCACCATGGGGATTCTGGGGGTTGAAGTCCACCCATGGGAATTCTGGGGGTTGAGATATTCCTCAACTCTGGCCACTTTAAGACAGTTGGACTTCAACTCCCAGAATTCCACAGCCAACATGGGGATTCTGGGAGTTGAAGTCCACCCATGTTAAAGTGGTCAACATTGAAAAACACACTGAATTAGGGGCAAGATAAGCTATCTCTCAACCTTACCATAACAGCACAGATAATCCTTGAATCACGGCCATAACCGAGCCCCAAATTTCTGCTGCTAAGTGAGACGTTTCTTAAGCGAATTTTGCCCCGTTTTACGACCTTAAGTGAATCTGTTTTCCTCCATTGACGGTCAGAAAGTCACAAAAGCGGATCACGTGACTCCGGGACACTGCAACCGTCATAAAGACGAGTCAATGGCCAAGCCTCTGAATTTTGATAACGGGACCGTAATAATGCTTCAAGTGTGAAAATAAAAGTCATAAATCACTTTTTTTCCAGTCCCATTCGAACTCTCAATGGCCACTAAACAAACTGTTATAAGTCGGGAACGATCTGTAGAACCCTGCACCAGGCAGAAGGGGTGGAATAGATGACCTCTGAGGCTCTTTCCCCCCTCTTTCATTTTACAGTGTCAGGCAACTGTTCACAAGCCGTTCTCTGTCACCCTAGATTGGTTGCATTACAGAGGGACAACTGCCATTAATTGATTTCTGGTTTATAAGAGTTACGGACATGTGGCACCGATCCATATGGTCTCGGCCTGCTCTATTGATCTCATTGATCTGCAGGGACAGACACCTGCTGGCTGTCCCCCCCCCCTCAAAAGTTTCCGAGATGTTTGCATGGCTGAGGTGCCGAAACCTGACCTACATTTTATTATTGTTGTTATCCTAAGCCACAGATTTAGTGCCTAACATATGCGTACAACCGGCGTTAGATGCATCTCCGATTATTATTACATGGAGGGTATTGTTTTTGTATCTGGGGTTTTCCTTCCTCGGTTAAATCTTTCCAAAAGGGGAAATAAAAATAGGATTATCTGTCCAGTGGGGAAAATTAGAGGTTTATATAGTTATTTAGAAAATCCTGACTTTTTTCTTCTTGCACCTCGATGAGATTATTATTTTTAATGATGTTACTGCTCAGAGCTTTCCCCGCAGCCCTGTTTAATTTCCAGTTTTCTGTTCCTACTTTGATTGCAGTTAGCCAGGGAAAAAAAGACTTTGCTTTGTAATAAATGCAGGGTCTCCTGCTTTTGGGGGTGGGTGGGGGGTGTTGGACTAGATTACAGCCTGTAATCCTGTATAGAATCCAAGAAACGTCCAATAAGTGCAGTCCTTGACTTACGGCTTCAATTGAAGCTAAGCGAATTACTTCTTAAGCAACTTTTGCCCCATTGTACCACCTTCCTTGCTACCGTTGTTGTTAAGTGAATCACTGCAATTAAGGTAGTCGTTGCTATGTGAATCTGTTCTTCCCCATGGACTTTGCTTGTCAAAAGGCCGCAAAAGGGGAATCACGTGACATTTTGGAAAACAGCAACGGTCGTAAGTATGAACCAGTTTCCAAGCTTCTGAATTTTGAACATGGGGATCGTGGGGATGTTGCTACGGTTGGAGAAGAGTCATAAGTCACTTTTTCCAGCGCCGTTGTAACTTCGAGCAGTCACTAAATGAATTGTCGTAAGTTGAGGACTCCCTGTGAGAAGTGCCAATAGATTTTCTTTGGTGTTTTGAAAGCCGCCAAATCTCTTCGGACCGAGGCTTCCCGAGAGCAGGAAGCAAACTCCTTGTCCAGGCAAAAAAACCGCTGTTATTAATTTGTTGTGAATTCTGCTCCTTCACATCCATCAAAGTCTTTCAAGGGAGGATTTCCAGTCACAGACCTTCTCTGGCTTGGAGAGCTGCCAGGCCGATCTCTGCAGAACTTGGCAAGGAGTCTCGGAGAGTCACAAACCAATTAAGCGAACTAATGGTCTCCTGCAAACTCCACCCCCCTTTCGCTCCTCTCTTATGTCCTCGGAGAGGGGCCCTTCATCATCCACCTGTGGCCTTACTCCCAAGTCGACCCGTTCTTCAGCCATTCCCGTCATCTAGAAACTCTGCGCATGGGCACACTGGGAACAGGCTCCAACTGTTCTTCTGCCTCACTGATGTCTGACTTTGAAGGCAGCTGATAACTGTCGGACGGCTCTGGCCCCCTCTCTGCCTCTGATCCACAGCCCTCATCAGAGACTTCCCCAGCCTCCAGGACTGGCCCAGGTTCCTCCCCAACCTCCTCACCCTCCGAAACTGCTGATGGAGGGCCACAAAACTAACTTTCTTTTAAAGAATTGGGGAAGTTCTCCTTTTCATTAAATTCAGCCTTAAGGGAAGAGATCGAATTCTATCTCTAAGTCNATAATAATAATAATAATGATAAAAATAAATAAATGAGTCAAACATCTGAGAAAAATCGTGAAACTGGATCTATAACCTAGGATTCCTATCCATGCTACACAAAATTAACAAAAGCAGGTAGCTGCCGGGGGGGGGGGGGAATCTGTCAACATCAAAGCTGCTTTTCGATCATCTGTCTTCTCTGTCGAACTCACCTAGGTAACTGTCATCCGCTTTGATATGAGCCTGATGTGTCTTGAGCTCTTCTCTAACCACAACGATAAAATAGTCCGGGTCATAGGATTCTTCAATGGCCTCTTGAGTTGCTGAGAACACTTGGCCTAAAGGGCAAGCAGGGTGCAACAATTACTGCCTTGGACTAAGATCAGAAAGACGGAGGTTCAAATCCCCACTTAAGCTGGAAATTTCTTAAGATAAGGAAAACTATTAATGTCTTGCAGCTCAAGTTATTTCACAGAATTGCTATGGAGAAATAAGTGAGAGTGGGAGGTGTCATATGTTTCTTGGTGGGGTGAGATAGGCAAGAAATAACATCATGACATTTGAGAGATGTCGGAGAAAGATTGTCGGAGACAATGTTCAGATATGTGAGGCAGCTGGTGCTTACGGTTATCAAACAAGTCACACGGAACTTGCAAACAAAATATATATTTCAAAATATGCTGTTTGTGAATCTTAGCCGCCGCTTTCCTGTTCAAACTAAGGAAAGGAATTCCAAACCCCCTGGATGAGAAGGCTCGAAAATAGGACTAAGAATAATAAGATTTATCTGATCAGGCAAATAAACATTGTTGGATAATGAATACATAAAACACAATGTATTTCAAGTAACAAAAACAGAGGGAAATATGCTTTGGAAAGAATCCAGTCCCTTCCTAGCCCTCTAAAAGGGATTCTACTCGATCCCATGGAGGCCTCCTTTTCTCTATATCAAATTGATGCAAGAGTTCTGAATCAAAATCATTTTATGCGAGGACCCTTTCTGTGATGTTCTCAGACACCATACAGAGGGGAATGGGGACGGAGGAAAAAGGACACCTGGAAGCAAGGGAAAATAGACAGGTAGTCCTAGATTGACATCAGTTCATTTAGGGATTGTTTGAAGTTACAACGCCACTGGAAAAAGTGACTCATAACCGTTTTTCGTACTTACGACTGTTGCTGCAGCATCCCTAGGGTCATGTGATGAAAATTCAGATGCTTGGCAACTGACTCATATTTATGACCATTGCAGTGTCCCAGGGTCATGTGATCTCCTTTCGTGACTTTCTGACCAGCGTAGTCAATGGGGAAGCTGGATTCCCTTAACAACCATGTCCCTAACTTAATAACTGTTGCGATTCACTTAACAACTGCGGCAAGAAAAATCGTAAATGGTGGGGTAAAACTTGCCCAACAACAGTCTTGCTTAGCAGCATAAATTTTGGGCTCAGTTGTGGTTGTAAGTCGAGGACTACCTGCATTTCCATTAGATCATCTCTGCAAGCTTTGCAAAAACAGATTCCCCTATGGCACGAACAGCCACTTTGACAACATGGCAACATTCACCTCTCTCCGGGTCTACAAACATCATTCTCACTGTTATGTCAAATTC